ATCACAGTCCCAAGAGAGGGAACACAGGCCATTCGGAAACAGCAAAGGCTTTAGAGTCAACAAAGGCTATCCACCTTCCCAACGCAGAGGAGGAAACCAGCATTCCCGTGTGATGCGGTGCAGGCTGGAGATATAAATAGCTTCTAAAAAGGTTAGCAAAATGCACGGATGACATATCTACAGTAGGTTACTAAGGGAAACCAGGATGCTCAGTGCCAGCATCTCACCTGTTGCAGCTGATGCCTGCAAGGAACCCTGGGGCTCCTCCCAGGCTCTGCTCACCCAGCTGCCAGAACCCAGAGCCTGGTGTTGTGAGTGGGCATTTCCTAAATCCTACTAATGTTCCCTGCAGGCCTTCTCCAAAGTAGGAAAACCTTTTTCCTCACATCTCTGTCTGGTTCCCATAAGCCCACTTGTTCCCAATTTCCTCATCTGGGAGAAGTCTGCCTTGAAGGGTGTTGTGAGGATGCCCTCCCGGGAGGTAGAAGCAGCCTGGTGAGTGGCAATCCCATGGCCCTTTCTCCTTCCCCTTTCTCATTGTGCCAGGCCCTTCTGCTGAAATGCAGAAGGTGGGACATGCCAAGCCTGCCTCCGGTGGAGATTCCCTTCTGTAGGAGAAGTGCCTTGTGGACACGCAGAGGGCGTGCAGGGCAGCCACAGCTGCTGGTTTATGTCAAGTGTAAAACAAATCTCACTTGTCACTGAGAAAGCAACAGCAGGGGACACCAGAGTAAAAGATATTTATAGCTCTCATGGACGCATCTCTGAAGTTGTGTGTTGAAATTAATAGACATAGAAACAATACATCCCAAAGCACATAAATGGACTTCCACACTGAGACAGTGGCTAAATCTGGAACTTTAGGGATCCCAAACCCACCCCTAACACACATCCTCCTCTGAGTGCGGATATTCTGGGGCCTGAATAAACTGGGCTCTAGTCCTTCCCTCTCCAGGGTATCAAGTTCTGCCTTCCTGCCAAGGATTAAGAGATCAGCCTGGAGCCTACAGCTAGAGAGCAGCTTGCCAGGCAGCTCCCCACTGGCCTGTCTGGACAGAGAGGGAGAGCTTTTCCCACTTCCCCTCGCTCCAAACAGTGCAGTGGCAGGAAGGAAAATCCCATCTCTCCAGTCCCTCCGTGAGCAGACAGCAGGGTTGCTGCAGCGCCTACACTGAGTCCTGAGGGCCAGGCAAGAAAGGAGAAGCTTCACAGAGGCCCAGGCAGGAAGCCAACCCCTCACTCCCAACACACACACAAGGCCCCTAGTGAGAAGGAAGATGCCCCAGTCAACTTCCACTCCAAAATGCTTGGCAGTCAAAATGTCACAGCTGCTCCTGGACCACCCATGGGCTTGGCCAACAGAGGGGAGGCATTCCCTTTGGCAGTGATGCTATGAGTATGCTGGGACATCCCCAGGCAGGGCACATGATTGGGAATGAAGTCCAATACACTCTCCTCATTCTCTCTGTCTGCTAATAGCAGCAGAGGTCAAGTGGAAAGCACCCTGCTCCAGAAGGCCAAAGGTCATCTACAACAATCACTGGTTGACTGGTAGATTCCCTAATATGTAAATCGGGCAAATGATCCCATGGCTTTGAACTTGACTGAGGTTAAGGCAGGGACCAAGAGTGAGCAAGTAGACTAGAGGTTCCAACCTGACGGAGGCACTGTTGCTGTTATTCAAACACAATGAATGCCCACATGCACGAGTAAACATTTTGGAGAGAAGGTAACTGACCTCTAGTGCCACCAGCTGCCTCATTCCATCTTAACTCTCTGAAAGCAGAACCAACAGAAGCCTACATACCCTATTTGTTTCTCAAATTCTGCACAGAACTGTAAGCTACTTCTCTTCCATCGATGGGGATGAGGGCTCTGGTTAAGACTGAAAACCATCTGATACAACAGGGCATTTATGACAGGGAACTCTGGGCTTGGAACCATGGATCCCATAATGGGGACTATGCGAATTAGAAAGCACAAAGCTGCTCCACACCTCTGTTGAAAAGGTTCTAGGATCTGGCATTCTAGTGGAATTTTTGTCTAGAAAATTCCACTAGAATGGAATACACTGTTCTCTTCCATTCTGTGAACCTTTCTCCCTACAAAACTGCCCACAGTGGAATACAATAATTTCCTGTGCTATTTTTCACACACTCACTATGCACAAAGGGTCAGTTGCTTTTAAATATGCTAAAGAGTTTAAGCCAACCTATGACCTTGCAATGAAGATTCTAATTATACACAGTTTTACTAGATCACAAAGGTAAAATAATTTAGCTAGAATCACATGATTAGCTAAAGTGGAAATCTGAGCCCAAGCCTGTTTTATTCCAAAGCCCATGGACCATTTTCTGTTGCCCACTAGGTTTAAGGACTTGCACACATATGTGTATGTGTAATGGATACATATATCTATAAATCCTTAATTTTTTACTTATATGTTTATTTATCATTATTATTACTGCAAGATGAATCTGATACTGATTCCTAGAAGCCTGAGGTCTTAATGACCAAGTACAATGTAGAAATCTCCTACATAACACATACAAACGGAGCTGAGACAGACATTTCTACCTATGCTGACATCAGCCATGGTAGATCCCCATTTTAAATTCATTCCTTTGCACTCCCCAGGTGCAAAAGTACCGGAACATAGTACCAGGTACACAGCAGGCACTTGCCATTTGGTCTCATCATTGTTAAGCTGCTTATTAGTAATAAACCTTCAAATGCTAAGAGATGAAATATCACTAACTTTGAGGCAAGAACAAAAGTCTAGACACTGTGAGAAACACAGGGGGCCTAACACACATCTTGGCCAACAGAGTAGGTGTCTCACCACTGGGTGAAAACAGCAGTATATTTGAGTCTTACTAATATGTTTATTCTGCTTGGTCTATATCTTATGATCCTCCACTGGAAAGAGTAATTATGGCCATATATGGAAAGCCCTGGTTTTGTAAGTGGGGTCAATTTCAAGTGACTCTCTTGATCTAAGTTCTCTCCTCTGTAGAGGTACCATTCGACACCTACTAAGGGAATGGCTGTGAAGGTTACAGGTACCACATCTATGGACGTGCAAACAATCCAATCAGCCTTGCAGCATCTCAGCATCCCCGTGGTGTCCTGTGTGTATAACTACTTCAAATTGGAGCAGATTCAGACCCTCATCCCAATCCTAGCAACACCCCTCAGTAGCTGTGTGTCCTTAGGCAGCCAGCCTAGCTTCTCTGAGCCTATTTCCTCACCGTAAAAATGGAATACCACCTATCTCATGGGGTTGTTTTATAGGCTAAATAAGGTAATATTTGCACGTGGCCTGATATGTATGAAAAAACTCAATAAATACTAGTAGGGTTTAAATGTGCTCAGAACAGCTCTGACTACACATATCCTGTTGAACAAAGAGTGTGGTCAAAAATTATGGTGACAAGTAAAGGAGATAAGAGAAAGGAAGGTAGTGAGAAGTTCAAATTAGAGGCACTTTTTTAAAACCTTCCTCTTTCCATCCAATGAGGTCTACCTCTTGTTTATCAACGATATGACTTAAAAGTCAGTCTTAGTTGATTGAGCAAGCTCTGCCTCTTGCCTTCCACATCCTCTGATGAAGGAAGAAGGAATAACGACTACAGGGCAGGCAACCAAAGGGGGGCCGGGAGAGCTGAGAACTGGTGGTACTGACTGGGGCCATTGTGGTGAAAGCGGGTGGCCTCAGGCACCTTAAACGCCAGCAGTTCTCTATCTTCAGACAGTCCTCTAACAGTTTAGAAACCAGAGGTCACAGCAAGGCACTCCCCTGAACAAGGCATGTTTCAGAATCCAACCCAAACTCTAATCACAATTATGAAATCCAAATCTAGATAAGCTTTAAAGAACAGCACTCCCTTTATTGAGCACCTAGTGTGTGCCAGGTTCAATGCTAAACATTTGGCATTCAATATCTGCACAAGGGGATCATCTTATGTTTTTAAACCCCATGTTACAGATAAGGAAATTCTACTGCTGGACTTCCCCCAAAGACATTCTCTAAGGCTTTCAGCTGCTCTTATGTTCTCAAGGACTTGAGTCTGTATGACATGTGGAAACTTCTGCCAGAGTCTTCAACTCTAATCATAGTGCTGAATTCTATAAAATTCATCACACACAATCACCTTAGCCCCAGAGCAAAAGTGGGTTTGGGAAGAGGCTGAAGCTGGGACAGGAAGACAGAGAGAAGACATTAGTCCTTCAGAAGCACAGCCTGGCCACCTCTGATTTGCAAACTCTGGCCAGAGGCTGCAGGGCGAAGTGTGCATTTTCTTTCTGCACAATTAATCTCTCCCAAAGAAAATCCAGACAGTCACCTGGCCCTTCTGAAGGGAGGCTGGAGGGAACCCGTCCTCCTCCAAGATTCACACTGAACTCCTAACTCTTCCTCCGCACCCCAGGGAGTGGCTGGATGGTTGTTGTTTCTTTTTTTTTCCCCTGTGGTCCTTTGGTAACACCACAAATTACGTTTTCAGGGACTGGAGTCCCAGAGTGCAATGATGTTGTAATAAACATAACCAGGACCAAATGCCTTCCCATAATATTAGATGATGCCATTTCCCACCAATCAGGCTCCTTGGGCAGGCAGACCACTCACCAATGAGGGACCAGACAGAGGCTGTGGGGGGGAGACCTGGTCATCTGCAACTAAAAATAAGGGCGCTTCATGATTGGTTGCTGCCACTTTGCAACAGGAGTTGGGACCCACACACCAGGCGCCACACTGAACAACCCACACAGGCAAAAACTTTCACGGCCCAGGGGTTCACATGGGTGGGCTGATCTGGGTCTGTTTGTTTTGTTTGTTTTCCTAATTTGCTTACTTGATACAAGAAATAAAGACCTAATCCAAAGGGAGCCCCTCGCAGACACGCCCTCCCACCTAGACACCTCGGTTTCCAAAGGGCCTTCGCAGCCACAAAGAACTGGGGAATAGGAGGGGGGCGTTGGCCAGAAGCCAAGACACTCACCTGTCCGGCCGTGTCGTAGAGTCCAAGGAGGTACTGCTTGCCCCCCACGGTGACGCTGACTGCAAGGACAGAAGTGGGGGCGGGGAGAGAAGCTCACAATGACCTGGGCTCCGGGGTAATTTCGCTCCCCACCCGGACCCTCCTCTCCCAACCCAGTTAGGGAAGTGGGGGTGCTCCCCGCGAGATGTCACCCCCTTTTCCGTTGAGCCCCGCTCACTGTGAAGCGGTAAGGGGCTGGGGTGTAATGTGGTCCTCAGCCGTCCGCCCCCTTCCCCCAAGTCCAGTAGCCACGTCTCGCCCGGTCCCCTCGAATGTTTCCCCGGGGCCTTGGGGCAGTAGGAAAGGGGCTGTGGGAAGGTCAAGGAGGTCGGCCCGGGGCGGCAAGAGGTGGGAAGTGCGCGGAGCTGCGGCCGCGTGGGGAGCGAGTGGGAGAGGGGGTGGATCCGCGGGCGAGGGGGTGCCAGGAGCGAAGCCTGGGGGGTGGGGCCGGCCGCCTGGCAGAGGGCGCGGCGGGGGAGGGGAAAGGAGCGCGCTCGGGGGAGGCGGCGAGGGGGCTCCGCCAAAGTTGCTCCAAAGTTCCCGGCCCGGGGAGCGGCCCCTTAGTCAGCAGTTCCGCGGCTTACCTGCGTAGTGGTCGAAGACGGTGGGTACGTACTCCTCCGGGAAGGCGTCGTTGGCATAGCTCATGAGTAGGCACGTCTTGCCCACCGCCCCGTCGCCGACCACCACGCACTTGAGCATCAGCGCGCCGGGCCCGTGAGCCATGCTGCGGCCGGCCGGCCTCCGGGCATGGTCCCCCCGGAGCCCCCGCCCCGGCCCCGGGCTCAGCCCCAGCCCGCCTGGGGGGTCCGCCGCCGTCGCCGCCGCTCCGCGCCGCAGGGCCGTCCCCCCGGCCCCATGCAGCGGCTGCTCCCCTCGCCGGAGGGGAGGGGGCGGCGGGCCCGGGGCGCTGCCGCCGCCGCCGCGGTCGCCGCCCGGATCCCCGCCCCGGCCCCGGTCGCCGCGCCCGCCCGCTGCCCCCGCCACTCGGCGCCCGCGCCCTCTCCCCGGCCCGGCCTCCCCAGGAGGATCCGCCGGATCATAAGACCGGCCGGCCCCGGGGGAGACGGCAACTTTGGGGAGGGCGGCGGAGAGGAGGAGCCAGGCGGCTCTCCCCGCCCCGCGCCGGCCCGGGCCCCTCCCGCGGCGCCCCGGAGGAGGGCGGGCCCAGGCGCCTCCCCTAGCGCGGCCCCCGCCCCGCGCCCCCGCCAGCCGCCGCGCAGCCCCGCAGGCGCACCCGAGCCTCACTCCCCGCGAGGGCCGCGCGGAGGGGCGCGCAGGAGGAGGAGGAGTCGAGGACCGCGGAGGGGAGGAGAAGAGGAGGAGAGGCGGGGAGGAGGCGAGGAGGGGAGGAGGGAACCGTGCTGGGGGAGCCGAGGGCTCCTCGCGCAAGTGCCAGCAGCGCCCAGAAGCGTCCAAAGGCCCCGATGCTGGGAGAAGACGTGGAGGCCTCTCGGGGAACCACGACGACTTCCACGGTGACGCAATAGTCATGCCAAATTATACATCTGTATTTCACCTTCACCCAGAAGGCCAGAGCCATCGTCTTGGCCTCTAAGTGCACAACGGAAATACAAATCAGGAAGAAAGAGAGACCACAAGGATTTAAAAAAAAAAAAAAAAA